CATATTTTTGCATTTCTTTTCATTTCATTTCATTTTTTCGATTGAGGACTAGGCGGGAGAGGGTTGAGCTGTGTATCCTCTGATGGGTGATCAGGGCTCAACAAATCACTTGTAAGTAACTTTGCCGAAACTTTTTTTCTTAGTTCATGACTTGGGGTAGCGGCAAGAGAAAAAATGGAAACTTATAACCTTGGCTATACCGATTATTAACAGGTGATCCATTCCACCGACGCCTACTACGCCCTGACTCTCATGGGTGGTACTTCCCATGCACATTCGATCGACTTCTCTTCATGTTCCGATTATATTTACAATTCACTTCATGATGAAATAGAATCGTCACTCCTTCACCAAATACTGTGCTGTTGTGATACCTTGCGATATTGACTGGGTTCCATAACTGTAATTAGCCAATCTAATTGTAAACCTTTCCTGCCTTAGGTCGCTACAATTTTCCCAATACAAAAACCAAACCTGAAGTTGAAAAAATTCTTTGTATGTAGTATTTCCAACTCAATAGAACTACTTTTGAGTTTGTTTGGTTGGAGCTATTCGTCTTGTCCATAGTGACCACTTCCAACTCTTTCTCCGACTCGGCCTCACGAGTGTCACTTCTTCGTACAACGATCCTCTGCTTTGCTCTGCCCTTCCTTATTACGAGGAGCCAGGTATGTTTGAATAGTTCTTCCAATACGTAAGCTTGAAAGTCGTTACTCTGCACCGCACATTTTTGAGCTAAATACGCTTAATTACCCCATTAATTATTCCATTAATTAATTTATGCTATTTATGTTTGATAAGCTTTACATGAAGGATGAGGATAAAGTTTTTTAGCGTTAATCAATCCCGTCCGAGGGATGCGCTCCCCGCACTCGATTTCCATTCAGGATCGTAGTGATTTAATGAGTGCGTATGTGGCCCATACAATGACTTGTGCTGGCCAGCCGATGCACAAGTCCGTGCTTTTATCCTCCCAGACGAGTCTGGTACCAATTACTTAACCCCGGAAGGATGGTAGGCGTAATTGGCTTGGGCGGATATCCAACCAGTACTCGAACTGGTGACTTTGCTTGTGATGTGGTGCATGCCACTACATCACCTCCGCCCCTATGTTTTACATGGGTAAGATTAAACCATAAGGAGATAGGAACCCTCCTCAACCCCCCCCNCCCCCCCCCCCCTTTCCTAGCCTCAGAATTATCACTCCCACAATTTGTGGATCGGAAACATGGTGACGTGGCGGTTGTAAATGGAATGATTGTAAACCTTCAAAGCGCATGTTGCAACACCCGTCCTGATCCACTTCGCATGTTCGGAAGACATGTTGCACGGCTTCGCACAGCAAATTCTTAAGTCGTAGAAAAACGTGGTTCTAGGCTTTCATTTCCGCTGTAAAAACGCTAAATTCTTTCTTTGTCTTCAAAAAACATATCTTCCATGGTAAAGGCGCTTTTATTCATGGAATTCATGTATAGCCTTCAGGCTGGATTCCATGCAGTGGTAGCCGCAGAGAACACTGTGATTCCGGTAGGTGCCGCCGTCTTGGCAAGCACAGAGCTGCTCATTGTTGGCTGCATCTACGGATTCAAGCGACTATGGTCAAACATATCAAGCATGGTTGCAGATCCGGTGAGTGCTACGGGCAGTCTAAATAATCTGTGACTGGCACACTTCAAACACCGTGGTATAAACGTAACGTAATCGGGAAAAGGTTGATTGGAAGCATTTTTTCAAAGCAGCCTGTTTGAATCCGTTCCTGTATGACTTGTTCTGTATTTATGGGCATGGAGCCCGAAAACCACAAATTTGGGTTCGAGTCTCGTCCGAGACCGCATATTGCCCATAACCTGCCCATCTCACGGAAGCTATTCTCTACTTGCTTTTCCTTTCGCATCTACTTGGAGGTTTTTTAAAAATCAATATAACAGGGGACGAAAAACAGAAAATGTTAAAGGAAAATCTTACAAAACTGTTGGGTATAATCTCTTAGCGCTACGCTTGCTCGGTCATAAACCTTCTGAGGCTAATGCTATGCTACTCGCACACGTCTTTAGTTGAAAACCACCAGCCGTCTTTGTCTTATCTACTCCGAATAGTTAATACTTTAAAACCTATTAGTTAGAATAGGATAAGGTTTTACTGTCAGATATTTGGTGATACTCAAGCTGTTAGGGAGAAGTGTAAATCTTTCTTCTGTTCTCCAGACCCGAACACTCATCATTTTTTCACAGAGTGCAGTGCAGTGCAGCGACCTCCCGGATAGCAAAAGGTTAAATATCTACCGGAAGAATTTAAACATCCCGGCGTATTCATGGTCAACCAATTAGGGTGCCGTCTCAAAACCAGTCTTATGAAGGCACAGTTCACGATAATTTCGGGTAATCAAGATTATGACGAAAAATGGAAGATAAGATGGAAAATGGGGAATGGCGACGGAATTGTGTGAATCGGTATTTCCAAAGTGAGGAAAGGCTTCGAGAAATCTTTAAAAAGGGAACTGGCTGAAAATGAGACCAGAAGAAAGAAGAAGAGAGGGGCGTTTGGAATGTGGGTCATTGCGTACGTGTGGGTCCTGGTGCGAATGACTGACTACGGTAAGCAAAAGTCCACTCACTTATAAGCATAGCTAAACAAAAAAACCTTACTAAAAGCAAAATAGCTCACCTTTTTCAGCCTCTTGGGGTAGGAAATTAAGTAAGG